AAAAAGAAACAAACGAACGTGAGCCGAGAGCCCGATAGGAAAGTTCCGTGGCGAGATGAGGCGCGGCGGTGAGGCGAGGTGAGGCAAGGTCGATCCTCCTCGCGCGCATCGATTGGAAATCACGCACCGCACTGAGAGCTACACAGCGTCAGAGTATCGAGCAACCCAGCAGCACCATCACAGTGTGTTCTCTTCTACCCTGATCGCGTTTCACGAGTCCGCATATTATATATATATATATAATATATATATGTATGTATACATGTACGTGAGTGTGTGTATGTATATTGAAAAACGACGAAAGATGAAGAGGGTGCTAGGCGTTAAATTCAATGCACGACGTAGATGGAGATGCGTGTGTGCATCGCGGTTCTTATCTCCCGCGCGTTCGAGCGAGCGAGACGGTAAACAAAGGGAAAGAACTGAGGGAAAAAAGAGACGATGTATAATGGGAGAAGGAACGGCGGACGTGAGATGGAATGAGATAGACAGATAGGCGGACGGAAAGAGCGAACGAAATAGAGTGAAAGAGAGAGAGAGGGAGACGTTACCACGTTTCTCCGGCGTCCTACCACCTTCAACGGGATCGCTGCACTGACACTGAGCCTCGGAGTCCGAGTTCGCCCCGTGGCCCGGGTTTCTCGGAGGAAAACAACGCTCTCGTGATCCGACGTAGTGTGGGTAAAGGACTAAGGGAGAATGCACTAACCTCGCTACCTCCCTACCACAAGGCTGACTCACGTTGCTTGGCCTGCCATTGTATGTATCGTGTCGTGTTGGTCGGCTGGCTGGCCGGTTGGTCGGTTGGTTCGTTGGTTGGTTCGCTCGGTCGGTCGACTCTCTCTCGATTACTCTTTCCCTGACTAATCCACTACTCTCTTTCTAGAGCACGCTGCGGACGGCGCGTTTTACAGGTACGCGCGCGAGGGTGGCCGAATGTGTCTACATGTGTACCGGGACGAAATTCAAAACCTGTTACGTGACGCCCGGAGAAGATAGTGGGCCTCGGTGTCTGTGTCGAACTCGTCCGTTTTTCCTTCGAAATTCTCGTCTATCTACCCTGCTCTCTCGGATCCATTTCGGGGGAACGTAATATTAGGATCGGATAGTTGGCCTTTTTATTAACCCATTGCGGCTCTGGCCATTTTATTTTGAGTGGACTGACCCTAGGAACACGGATCATCGTTTATTTAATTACGATTGATATGTACGTTAACGGTAGAACTACCATGCGATTCAATTGAATCGTATTTTCTTGTACGAACTGGAAAAACGCGTTTGTTTAGATTTCTGTTTACTGAAATTTTAGTATGTGTATTATCAAATCAATGTATTCAGTAAATTGTTGAAAAGTCATTTAGTATTTTTTCGACTATTGTAAAAGGTGTCTGACGTAGCTGATTTTGATTCATGCAATAGTTCTAGTGTTAATTACGATTATATCTATTACGTTCAGTTTACAAGTGCTATACCTATTAAATTGCGATAAAGATTTCAATACAATTTGAAGCACCCTGTGTTGTTTCTTCTTACATCTTATAAAACTAGTCGTCATTCAGATAAGAAACTACTAGCACACCTTGTAAATAGAGAAGATTATATTCGAGACCACCGATTCGAAGCGAACCATAGTGATTTTTTTCACTTGTCAGTATACATTTCTAAAAAAAATATTCTCACTATTGTTCATTATGTGCGCAATAAGGACTAGTAATTACGTGTACTCCTGTAAAGTGTAAGAATTAAACATAACCTATTTTTTCAATTAGCATTAAATAACTTTAATAAACAACGTTGAAGGATTCTCGTTAAATGGTACTGTACACGTTTTTACATATGAATGGAGTTCTTTCGACGAATTCAATATTCATAGTCAATCGATATTGAAGATATAGAAAAACCAATTGTAACTTTTCATTCAACACTTTTCAACAATCATTAATGACACGTTCGAATTATTGACCTTGCAATT